ACAACTTTGCTCTGTTTAATCCATCCGAAGGACAGGAGTGTAGATGCGGTAGTAGCGCTTGCAGAGGTGTAATAGGTAAGGAGACCGTATCATAATGTATCATTAACAAATTCTCTTTGAATGAGTTCTCTATTCTACTCGTCTACTCAGGCGGAAAGAGTCAAAGGGTTACGAAGACTATCGCCGCTCTTCCTTCTCAAATGGAACCCACGGAAAGACGATCGGTTGGAAGGCCAAGAAAGAACATGCGGAAATCTAACATGGTGCAATCCGTCAACTCTAAAGGCATTTGCAAGTCCCGAAAGATGGGCGATTCCAGTCTGTTCCATGCCCCTGTACTGAAGCCTATGTCTCATCAGCAACGATGCTTCGCTCAACAACATCATTGCTTCTTGTTGAGGAACTTGGAAAAGGTGAAGCGAGTGAAATCGTTGGTGAACCAAGTGCAGATGCAGAACGGTAAAACAAGATTCGGTAACCCAACTGCCGCTAAAGAAAAAGGGCTCGGCGATGCTAAAATACAATCGGACGCATTCTTCTCGCAATTAACTGCTTTGACCAACACGAATACGCGTACTGTGCGAACACGAAGGCTAGCGCAGGCGCAAGACGACCCGGAAATGCATAAAACTGCGAAACTTGCCAAGGTAATCAGAATAAATATCACGAATGTACTATTTATTATTTTGTTTAAATAATGATCGCTAGCTAACGGGTGATGTAATTATTTTCAGGTGTTGAAAGATTTATACAGCATCGTGACAACCGCGAACGACGAAAACGGTCAGTTGCTATGCTCGCCGTTTATAACGTTACCCTCGAAAAGAAAATTGTCAGACTATTATGAAAAGATATCGGATCCGATAGACTTGAGTACAATTGACCAGTGCATTGGGACGGGTCACTATAAAACCGCCGAGCATTTTGATCATGATATGATTAAACTTTTCGACAACAACGTTCGATTCTTTGGGAGAACCTCGGAAATCGGTATTGCCGCAGCCAGACTAAGAAAATTATACTTAGGAAGTAAACCTGATTTTGTGGATGCCATAACGGATGCGACGGGCTGCCCTCCGTCTCAAGGATTTTTACCTCCTCGAGGTTCGACTGCTGGGGAGGAAGATGTTATCAGGTGTATTTGTGGCTTGCATAGGTAAGTAAAACCGAACTCGTTTTTATATGGATAATTTCAGGATTTAACAAAAATTATTTCTTATGTAGGGACGAGGGCTTGATGATTCAATGTGAACGGTGCCTTGTTTGGCAGCATTGCGACTGCGTCAAAGCTGACACAAGTCTGGAATCTTATCTGTGCGAGAGATGTCAACCGCGTCCTGTCGATTTGGAAATACCATTAGAGGGCGACGAGGAGGAGGAAGGAAAGAAACACTACGTCACTTTGATGCGCGGTGATTTGCAACTCAGGCAGGGGGACACGGTATACGTGTTAAGGGACACTCCGGAGAAACATACTTACAAGACTATTCAAAAGCCCGATTACGAACAGATGGATATTTTTAGAATTGAAAGACTCTGGAAGAATGTCGAGTAAGTCACTTTCATTCGTATTCGTTTCAAACGCTAACAACTTTCACTAAACTTCTGTGCCCGATACTATCGTTCGATTTGCTTTCACTTGACAGAGGGGAAAGATTTGTATTTGGTCATCACTACTTGAGACCCCATGAGACTTATCATGAGCCTACGCGAAAGTTTTATGAAAACGAAGTCGTCTGCGCACCGCTTTACGAAGCAGTTCCATGCGATTTGGTTGCCGAGCGTTGTTGGGTTCTCGACCCCCATACATACTGCAAGGGTAATTGCACTTATTTATTTCGTGAAATACAATCGTGAAAGTAACTCAAATGTAATTTAAATTTATTTTTTCTTTCACTCGCTTCTAAAACGAAGGACGACCGGTTGGTTCGACACCAGAGCATACCTACGTGTGCGAGTATCGCGTCGATCGCGCAGCTCGACTATTTACAAAAGTTGCCAGAGCTAGGCATCAAGTGTGCACGAAACCTTATGCTTTCGAAACGTTTCCAGAACGCATCAAGCATTATCGAACGTATTTGGTGAGTAGCGTTATTTCGACGTCGTTGAAGTAATCAAGGAATGCAAAGAATATAGGAGAAGACCATGTATAATGTTACAGCCTCACAGTCTCGAAGGAATACAAGTTGGTGGTAAAACGAACAAGGACAAGAAGAAAACGAGCAATCAAGATGTCGATTCTAACCCCAAATCTGAATCAGGCGATAACGCGAAAACGCACAGTAAGGATCAACAAAAATCTTCCACGAGTAAGGGTAGACGACGGTCAAATGAAATTTTATCTATTACTACATCCACAACGCCGTACGCCCAGGTAACTACTATTATTATCGACCGATACTTTTTCATCAATGTACCGTAGAATATTCAGTTAACGTAATACTCGGTGACTGTTGTTTGCAGAGAGAAGAACAAAGACGAAGGTTGAATAACATTTTAATCGGTCTGTTACAAAAAATGCCGAACAAGAAAGATCCGTTGGATTTGTCGTTCCTGTTAGAGAGGAATAGGCGGAATCGGAAAAGGCCGGGTGGATTAAATCCGTGACACTGGATTATACATCAGCGATAATGCGGCATTATCATACGCGCGCGATAACGGGTCATTGTTAATTCGTGTCACAGTTAAATCTGTAATCAAAGCGATCGATCGATTATTTCGTTTCGTCGTAAGTTGATGCCATTCGATCCGTTTCGCAAGGAAAGGAATCATGAGCTACGCGTTTACTTCTTTTTACACTACTAATACGACCCGTCCATTCATATTATTTAACCTCGAACACAAACACTACCTTCCTCAAAGACCATTGTATCGATCGAGTTCTTTTTATATGTTCTTTTTACACGCGCGAAAGTGTTGGAAATTCCAAGCTGAAATTACGATCGAAATTTTCTATAGTCTTTTTAGGGTTGTTTTTTCTATCCTAGATTACCTCTTCCTTCGCTCGCATCAGAAATTAAAACTCGAACTGTAAAGGAAATAGATTCGAGTCGCGCGTCGATGGAAAGGTAATCTTTGATTAATTTTAGAGTATTTCAACTCTCGTGCAGTGTAAAGTTCGTAAGTATTTTGAAGGAATAGAGATAATTTGTTTTCGTAAAACGGATCGACTTGGTTTTGAGAATCGGATTCCGTACGTGAAACAACGTATCTGTCAAATTGAATCATCTAACGAGAGCTATTACTTCTAGTAGAATTCTAATATAATTAGAATCGCGAAAATTGTATAAAACTATTTGTAAATTTATTTCATAGCGAATACACTTAAGTGTACAAATTAATATGCTACTCGGGATATAGGAAAGTGGCAAAGGCACACGCGTGTGTATATATCGGCCGCGTGTGAAAGGACGATGGAACCGACGTGAAGGAAGAAGAAAACAAAATCGAGTAAATCATGCGAGGCTTTATTGCACAAAAGTACCATTATATATTTTTCATAAGCCCAGTGTTATTTGAATTAAGTGTAATATATAGGTTTTTAAATTTATAGATAAAACTTTACTAACATATTTAATTTATTAATGATCGCGATCGAATTATAGCTAATTGTTGCTATGACAACTAATATACGCAGGATTTCGTATTTATTATTACATTATTGCAGTTAGTAAATACATATTATTGAAAGCTATTTAATATGGATAAATCTTATTTATATATATATATATCATGTGTTTCAACGTTTTGCACAGTATCAGAGATATTTTTATCGAATGAAAATGGGTACTACATCACATTCGGGATTGTTTGCATATCTTTATACCTGTGTAAAGAGTAACAAATTCTAAGTGATCTTTTCGCGAAAGTTTATGAATGTTTTTGAAATATTTATCTGTTAATTATTTTTTTTGTTTTCTTTTTTTATTTTAATTTTTGATAGTACTCTCAAATAAAAAGATATCGCCTCTTCTGGGTCAATTGCGGAAACTTAATATTTTTTTCTTAACCTAAAGAAATTATTTTGTCGAGACTGTACGATGTATTTATTAAAAATATCAACAGGAAAGATCTACAAAGAGCTTACGTACTGTTTACAGCGGTAGTACCTAAGTGGAAACACACGGAACAATTGCAAAAATTTGTTACAAATGTTATCGGATGAATTGAAACGCGTATGTGTAAATCACTTTGAATTAATTTGAACTCTTATTCATAGATCAACAAATGTTAACGTGGTCGTTGGTGATAACGTTAAGTGTGCGTGAAGACTGAATTACTGTTACAGGATATTTCTAGCAGGTAATAGCGCTGATCGAATCTGGGTTGTAAATAATTTAAATTCCAAATAAATAGAAGATATTTTTTATTTTTACGATTAAGTTTGTACACTTTTGTCAACAAGTAAATTCTCCGATTACGGATTAATTTCGCGAAATTCTTACTCGATCCAGAGATGACAAATCTTGGTCATGGGCTCGCGATTTAATGCAATCTAGTATAATTTGATCATTGTCGACTTCGAATCGTGGTAACGCGTGAATATAGAGCATCTTCGTATGTGTATTAAATCTGATTCAACTTGCATCTTTTATATCGTTCAGTGCTTAAGAAGTACCTTAATTCGAAGTCTCACAAACTGTACAAAATTTTTCAGAGAAAGGAGATAAAAAGACAATCATCCTGTAACTATAAAGGAACGACTTTTCCTTAGAACCGAAAAAAAATAACGAAACAAAATAAAAACGGGTACTATGCCTTGCATGTTGTTTTTGTTATAACGGGTAGAGGGAGTCATGACTATGATGGATTATCATGATAACAATAATGATAATTGAGGAGAGGAGGTATTGTTGGAGTAGGAGGAGGAGGTACGTTGGGTAACAATCGCATCTCTCAATCGAAGAGCATCGTTAAAAAAAATATAAGACTCGACTCAAAAATATAAATCATATTCTGGTAATCTCGTGAATTTGTTCATTTAATAAAACGCGGATACATATGAATCAAATCCAATAATAATTTATTCGTGACACGATATTCTCTTTTTTGTACATCATTTCAGTAGTATAGAAAGATAAGACAAAATCATATACAATATTACTCTCTTGTATTGAGAACGTTAATCTGTATTTTTTTTTTTATTACATGGTACTTTTCTTAATATATAAATAGATTTCCAATAAACGTATCGTGCAATACGTTTGAAAATCTGTACATATTTACACGATTCTTTTCCGAGAGCGATAACTCATTGCAAGTATTTTAATCTTAGTGCTAATTGCGTAGTGTACCCATACGTCATACTCTCCCTTTTGATCGGTCTTTCTTTTCGATTAAAAACCGTAACAAGACGTTCAGTATACGTTACCCCCTTTTGCTCGTTTTAAAAACTACGTACGTAATACGAATAAGTTCCTGTCGTTAAAAGTTTCATTCGCGATCATGAACCTTAAATCGTAATAAAATTGTATAACACTATATTTCATTTCGCACTGCATTTCTCAATGCAAAATAATTTGTTTCTTGGTGCATGTGTAACGGTGCCTTCATGCGATAAATTCTAGATTGTTGCTCGAGTTATAAAACCACAATAATTTTGGGATTCGTACATCGAAAAATATACGAACAAAAATCGTGAATATATTGTCGTGGAAACATTTCTCCATCTATATGTGTGTGTAATCAAAACCGTTACCCGGTGTTGACGACACACTGACCAGGAGTATACCTTACTATATACTCTCGTCGCTCTTGGTGGTGACTATATCCCATCGTGGAATAGTTAGATAAAGCAGTCGTTACGTTTTCCATCGTGTCTGCCTGCAAAAGTAAACAAATAGTTGTTTATTATAGCGCGCGCACATTCGTCATCCTTGACAATTAAACTCTTCACACTGGAGTGAAGAGAACTACAAACTGAAATTTGACGAATACGCGGATATGCATGCGTATTCGTCGTGTATCGAATGTATGAAGCTGGTTTTACGTACGACAAGCATTGGTTATATTTAACAGAACAGTAACGACGATAACGATAAGAATTATAGCATCAACAAAAGAGAAGCAATGTACCATTATTTAAATCGATTTCAATGTGCAATTCGATTCCTTTTATAAATGAAAATTTGGTATTAATTGAATCTTTATGTAAGAGTATTTTCTTGTATCAAAATTAGTCTCCCCTCCAGACCGAATTATTTAATATCATTCATTGAAATGAGAACAAATTTATAGCTGTTTATAATACCTTACTGTATGTTCCACTTTTCTGACACATACTGTGGTAGATTATTGTTTGTTTACAGCCTGACCGCTCGTAGTAGTTTGTCCACCCTGTTGCTGCTGCTGCTGCTGTGGTTGTTGCTGTTGTTGCTGGCCCCAATACTGATTATAATACTGCTGATTCCAACTGTTCCAGTTACCATTACCATAACCCTGTTGATTGTACGAGCCTTGACCATAGCTTTTCCAGTTTCCCCATTGTTGTGATCCCCCCCAATTATTATGTTGGCCCCAGCCACCTTGCTGACCACTAGCTGACCAGTTGCTTTGATTCCAATTGGATTGTTGTGATCCTTGATAATTTCTTGAACGAAATAAGAAATCGATTTATATGGGTATGTTCATATAGAAAGAAGAAAAATAAAAATCTAATAGCTACCCCATTGGTGCCCAGCCACCTTGACGAGAACCCACAGCACGACCTCTATCGTTTCCTGTTCTTCTGTCTGCATTACCCCCTCTTCTGTCCATTCCGCGATGGACAAGTGGAATAGGTGCTCCTCTTCCTCTCCATACAGCTGGAGGACCATAACCGCCATGTCTGTTATGTCCACCTCTTTGAGACCTATCTGTCCAGCCTGAATTACGACCACCACGCCAAGCGGTATTGCGATTTCTTTCGGTATCTACGAACATCCATTTTTCCAGATAGTTATTATTTTTTTACTTACATTATTGTTTCTATTACTTTTCGTGTTCGCTATGACTCTTACAATTATTGCCTCGTCTGTCCCGATACTCTCGAGGGTTATCGCGATTACTTCGCGCGTCGTTTCGACTTTCTCGATTGTTCTCGGGTCGTGAATCGAGTCGCTGTCGTTTACTTGTTTGCTGCTGACCGTATCCAGCGTCTTTTCCTTCCTTATTGTATTTTCCTATAACTTTCTTGCCCTCTTCTTCGTAGAGTTCGACCCAATCGATGACATCGAAAAATTCACCGGCAACTGGAGCTCTGAAATTTGCTGAAACGATATACTATGCGTGAGAAGTATAAATCACCTTGTTCATCACTTGTTCTTAAATCGAACGATCACAATTTTAACATAAAGATGACTCGTAGCTGAGTGTTGTAATAAAAAAAATAAATGTACTCTGAAAATAGTAACCTTTCATTTCCATGAGCGTCGATTCGTTAGGTTCCTTGCCTTCCTCCGACTTGTATTTATCAGCACGCAACTTGAACTCTTCCTCAGATGGTACCATCACCACTGCTTTTCGCTGGTATCCACAAAAATTCTTCATTTTACGTCTTTGTGCAGAAGGATACACGTTTGTCTATTCGGTTACATGAAAAATGCAAAGGCCCTTAGGTTTATTATTTATCATTTCTTTTTTTTTTTTAAATAGAAGTAGTAGTATATACCTGGTCTAAAATGTAATTACGCCTTCTAGTTGGAGCCATTTCTAATAACTTATCCAATACACGGCTACATTTATTGATAAGTGTATCCCACTGACTACTGTCGTTCACTTTTTGAGACGAGCCTGGATCCTGAAACAGTATTATTTATCAAACATATGTAACAGAATATACAATGTATCTAACCATCTGTTGCATCGTTTGCAGTACGTACTTTTATTTTGTTGATTAGAGTACTAAGTCCTAAGATATTGTACATTTTCTGAGGATGCTCGGTCGTGTGTTTTGTTGCCCAAGTAGTTTTCCCGCAAGCGGGCAATCCGCACATCATTATTACTTCGCACTCCTCTTTCTTGCCCGGTCTCCGTGGTCCAGGAATCTTATATTGAGAGTCCACGTTCCCGATCGAAACATACTCTTGTAAAACTTCTTCTGCCCATGGTTTCTCTTGACCAAAGTTGCATGCGAAACTACAATTCTTACTTAGAATATGTGGAAATAGTGGTTTGTCCCCGAGTTCTTCTTTGGAGATATTAAACGCCGTGCCTTGATCTTTTCCATTCACAGTGTAAGATAGCACGATATCACTCTCAGATGTCGCGTCAAAATAGCATCCGATGACGTCGTCCTTGCCAAACTGAAGTCCGTAATCTTCGAACTGGTTATCTGTTAATTTCTTCCCAGTACTACAGTACCCAAAACTGAACTTTTCTTCTCCGAGTTGCATCGATGTGTACGGAGTAGACCAACCAATCCTGAGTATATGTGGATGTTCTTTGTTTTCCGCATCGATGGGACAGAGCTCCACTATTTTTGCTTCGTAATAAACTTTTCCATGCAGAAAACCATACGAGGCTCTCGCGCCAGCCCACATGTGCGAAAATCCATCGTTGTGCATAGGAGTGGCAGTAAAAAATCCGTCTTTATCGATAACCAGATTTAAATCCGAATCATCTGAAAAAAAAAATGTTTAGAGTTCAAATAAAACGGTGACATGTCCTTAGTACGATTAAATTATGCGATAGGATGCAGTCTAATTATTTTCGTTCATATACCAACATACACCAAGATAAAATTAAAGCAGAATCGTCGATGTCCGGTTCGTTTTCAACAAGCATCAACGCTGGCGGATCATGACGATCTTCCACAGGACTAGGCGATCTTTTCCGCTTTCTATCCTTAACGACTTCGTACTTATCATGTTCTTTCATATCTACATCTGTATCTTCTTCATCTTTAATTTCCGCTATTTCTGTTATTTCTGCCATTTCTGTTTCTGTCATTTCTATATCCTTTTGACACAAATGAAAAATAAATAAATAACTACACGTAATATTTTTATGTAATAAAATGTAGAAGATGTTAAAACTGAGAGTCTTTGTTTGGTCCACCAAAAAAAATTAACTGTCATCCTCTGCATTTTACCGAGTTTGTAGATGCTACATGATAAAATACATAGTTACCTGTTCATTTTGTTTTTCGTCGATATTATCTTCTTCTTCCTCTTCTGCTTTGTCACTGGATAAAACTTCTTTAATTTCATCTTTAGGTTGAGATTGGTCATTATCACTCTCATTTACATTTTGTTCTTGCTCGGTTGAATCCTGTGTTGGTAATTCTGTTTCAGGAATGTCAGTAGGTTTAACATCATCAACAGGTTCTATGGTTTGAACATTGTCTGCTAGTTCTACATTATCTTCCTCGATTACTTCTTTCTCTGTATCTTCTATTCTATCATGTTTATCATCAATTTCTTCTGGTCTATCATCCTGCAACTTATTTGAATCAATATTTTCATCTTCTTTTACAATCTCTGTATCTTCCAATGTTTCTTCCGATGTTTCTTTCGCTAACGCGACCTCTGTCACTGATTGTTGAGTTTGGTCTGAATTATCTGTAGGGTCTGACTTTACCGGTGACTTAGTAACAGATACTTGTGGAACATTTGTGCTAGATTCACTACTTTCTGTGATATTAACATGTTTTTCATCTACTTTTGTAAGTTTCACTGTAACTTCTGGTAAATTCAAAGTTTCATGTCCTGCATTTGATGATTCTTTTGTGTCCATTTCATTGTCTTTTTCCAATGAAGCTGATTTTTCATCTTGGACTGTAGCTTCATCTGCTGCAGTGTCTTCTGATATAGTAGATTCCTCTTGTAAAGCAGGTTCTGATATAGCAGGTGACGGTTCACGTGACATATCATTTTGTTCAGATTTCTTTGGAGACGTTCGTTTCCTAGAGTAAGGGACTCTAGTAGTTCTCCTTTTCTTGCTACTCAGAGTTTCACGCGGCGTAACTGCTGCAACAGTTTTAGACAATCTACTAGACTTTTTCGGTGTCTGTGGTACTTTTGCAGACTCTGACTTTTCTTCATTTTCATCATGTATATTTTCTGCATTCCCATGATCCTCTACAATGTAAAGACCCATTTATGTTGGATCAGTTCAGGAAACATAGTGTAGCATATATGTGTATGATGCTTCTGTGTGTGTGTTGTGTATTTACACAACTATACAATTACAAAACAAATTTAGAAAAATAAAGTATAATTAGAAATCTATAGAACCAAATGATAAAGTTAATCAAGATGGATCTAAAAAAGTTTATTGATTCTTAAATAAATACCACGAAAATTTTGAAGTAGCGTCGCGCGCACAATTCGTACGTAAACAGAGGAAAAGTATATATAGTTTGGATCTACACGGTATTAAAATAATAAAGAACAAATTATTAACAGTTATTAATTGTTTTTGACAAAGATAAATGTACTATTTTGTTGCGTTCAAATATAATTGAACGGACAAATCGGTAGAAGATTCGTGAAACGAATCGGAGAATCACCTGACTCGATTGTTTGTCAACATTAGATTAAACGTACGCATTCGTCGTTGGACGAGGAACAAGGCCGACCAGAAGTACTGAACGCGATCTAAAACTATCGATAAAAGATGATACAACTTACGACTTGCATTTTCTTCTTCAATTGCCTTACGAAGTCTCTCAACGAGCACTGACTTGACGCCTTTCGTATCGAGTCCACGCTGTGAGAGTTCTGTCCGTAATTCGACCACTTTCAACTTTTCTGGATCCATTGTGCGTGATATTTCACGATAATTTTCGATTCACGCACTTTTATTCAACGGAAAATCTCACGGAAAGCCCATACACGCGCCAGTGACCCGCGTTAAATATACAATATGGCGATACAACTGCAAACAACGCGTTACGTGTTGTAAATGGATTTTATTGGTCAATGTGGCATTTATTTGAACTAACGCCAACTTCACTGCTAATGGAATTATTTGTCCCATTTGCATTGGCGTGTTATAGGAATTCTTATTGGTCCACCTAAGGCGGGACTTGTTCCCATTTGTCGAGAGATAATATATACATGAAATTCGTAGAAACCGCCGGTTGCATACGATCCGTATAGGCTACTTGTCGAATTCGTTGGAAACTTACAATTATTCGTGCAGGAATAAATTGGAACAAACTTAGGAGCACCTAAAAGACGCGATGGTTTTGCGAGTTGTTGTTGGGTTACTCTGCAACAATTTTAACAATAAAAAGCGGGATTCTCGTTGTTCCATTCTTCTTTCATATTAAAATTTCTGTGCTATCGTTTCTACGCGTAAAATTTATCATGAATGGACCAGCACAGATTGTACCTGTGAAGTCGATACACTTTCAACTTTGCTTACAAGTAGAATAAAACGTTTGTTTTTGTCATCGTCAATGTTTATCGATGATTCTTCGTGTTTTCCTGTCGTCTGATTTTCTTGTAATCGATCATGAACGCAATAAACGTGAATTGGTTACATTCGGTAGAAGGAGAATCGCTGGTGCATCATTTTTATGTAAACACGTCGAAAAAGAGAAGATTCTATGGTAAACAGCGAATCGTTAGAGTAGATTTTATTTTGTTATCTCTGTTGATTTTGAATTAAATTCTAGGTATTCTTGAAAGGCCGCCACTGCCATCTTCCATCGAAGAAGTTACATATAAAATTTTTATGGTCGGCAGATCTGGAGTAGGAAAAACCTCTGTGGTAGCACGTCTCGCTGGTATATTGGAGACGAATAATTACGCGGAGACCAATGGAATAAAAAAGACAAATGTTTTTTGGCCGGTTAAAATTTGGGACAAGGTTGTGCTGTTCAAGCTCCAATTTTGGGACACCTCGGAGACAAGCATTAAAAAATATAACCATATACTGCCTGTATGTAATGTATATGTATATATATATAACCAAACTGGAACAATCTTTGAACATTTATTTTTGTAGGCATGCAAAGACAAAGTTGATGCTATATGTTCAGTATTTTGTTTTGATGATGCCATGGGTTTCAATGACATTCCATACTTGATGAATACAATGGCAGCTATGAAGGAAAAACCAGCGAACATAGTAATAGGAACAAAGTAATTCGGTGTTTCTTTTCCTAGAACTATACCCAAAGTTTATTTTAATCTGTCTGTTAATATTTTATAGATTCAAACCATGGTCGAGTTCTACAATAGAGGACGCGCGGATAAAGGAATTTGAAGATAAATGGAAAGTTAAAGTTGTCAGGGTCGATATCAATAAATTATCATCGAGATCCGAAATATTCGATTGTTCATATCAATTGAACACAATATGTAACATACTTTGGAATAGAGATAAAGAATTTATATCTAAACATATGGGACAAAATTAAGTAGTCAATGATTCAGCTTCCGCAATACCCGCGTGCATCTTTTTGCAAGATTTTCAATAAAGGTAAAACTTTCGTAATTCGTTTGTATCGACAACTCATTTTTTTTTTCTGATTATTTGGTGTACGTTACGAACGCGAGCTTTCAGGCTGGCAAACGTTTCGATCGTAATTTAGTTGGGTATTTTGGGTGCGTTCTCAACGATAGACTGTTGTTAGCACTTGCAGACAACTTCAAGAGAGTTGAGCGTCGTAAGTGGCGGCAAAATTGGCAACGGTATCGATTCCTTCTTGTCTTCGTTGTTCCCTACCGAAGAAAACTTTGAACGTGTAGAGGTGACAAAAGGTATAAATATCGATACGGTACATTTCATCAATTCTGTTATTATCAAATCGATGATATGGTATTTTGAATGGTAAAACGTCGATCATAGGTTATAATCTCCCTGCAAACAATTTTCATTTTCGATTACGTATACTGCTTAAGTAACAACGACCACTATTAGAGAAGAGAATATCACACGAGTTATCAGCATGTCTTTGTTTACTTTCTCTTTTTTCATTCGTTGTACTCGGTTGGTATATCGAATGTTTACCAATACTTTCGCGATTACAGCATTGGCCGTTACTATGTTATACGGAAGTGTGAGGTGAGGCGCTAGTGTGCAATAAACAGCGGCCAGGAAGGGAAAAGTTCCTTGCACGTGTTAATCATTGTAAGCGTCAACCTGTTACATCTTGTAAACTGTTGAACTGCAACAGGCATTTTTACACTGGGATGGCTTTATGAGCGGTCACAGTAGTGGCTATCTGTCAATGTAGAACCTGAAATACAAGCGTTTCAGAATATATAATCGATAGAAGCAGATATACACTTGCAAAGGGGTAATCAAAGCTGCAGGTTCCTAATCCTTAGATAGATTTATATAAAACAATACGGCATCGATTATAAGTGTATTTTGGTTTCAATAAAATTGTTTACATTGTCGTTTTGATATTTGTTACCACATTTCCAGGTATTTTGTTACAGGAATGATAAACAAAAAGATTTTTATAGCGGGGGGGATACTGATCGCTTCGGAAATCGTTTGGCAGTTGTACAAGATATTTCCGAATTTTCGGAAAACATGCGTCCACGAATCGAAACGAAAAATTTTAGAAGTCATGTTTTTCTCGATAGAATCCAGCCTTTGTCGAGCGCACGCCGCTAACGATAAAATGTGCCACAAAGAGAATTGTCCAGTTCGTTATATAAGGTAATTCAGTCGTAATCGTTGAATTATACGAAGATAATTATAAAGTAATCGGGTTCGACTAACGGTGGATAATATTGTAGAAAGTTGGTAAATTATATCGACTGCGCCGAGAAAAGTTTGGACGTGTGTATACACATGTTGACTTGCCAATCGTTAGCAAACGCTATTGTGAACGCGCGTAAACGAGGCATAGCTGTGAGGGTAATACTGGACCGAAGCAAAGCTGTTAACGATGCGTCGCAAACGGCTGTGTTTCACAGCAACGGTATACAAACGCAACTGACAATGAGTTATCCGTAATTGATGTCCTTTTTTAACAAAATTCCGTGTTTCAGGTGTGGTGATTAGAATGCCAGACCTGGATGTCCTGATGCACCACAAATTCTTGATCGTGGACAGTGAAATATTGATCAGCGGCAGCACGAATTGGACGATGTCCGCCTTCTTCGGAAATTTTGAAAATATCGTTGTGACCAACCACAGTTCCACGGTGAAACCGTTTGTCGAGGAGTTTGAAAGGTTGTGGACATTATTCGAACATCCGATACCCTCAGAGTTGGAAGAAAGTTTGAAACGTCCGGTTTATAACTCGCCCAACAACATTTTGTAACTTGTGAATGAGTGAATGAGTCGGACGCATGGTATTGTGCGCACGAATCATCGTAGTCACTAAAAATAGTAACTTTACCATTAAAATTTATGGAACACAAGTAAATCGTGGGTATAATATTAACGAGATAAGATTTGCTTCGTTTTGCATAACCGGTCTCTATATCAATTAGGGAGTCTCGAAAAAACTTGTTCCATCGTAACGATACACGAGCTGTTTATTTTTTAATATAAAGAAGTTTCTGCCAGTATTATTATTATCGAAATAAAATTTCATAAATTATCGGCTTTTCAAATGTAAACTGTTATTTCATTGCTCCACTTTAATGGACGTAGTAAACGGCGTGACGTTATTTCCCCATACAGGAGTCACGTGGCGCAGAACTCGAGAGATCCACCGCCACGATACGAAGTGCTATGACGCGCGGCGCGCATCGAGCGATGTTGAAATATTGCCGCAAGGATGCAACTGATGCGCCGCAACGCTGTTAGTCGGTGTTCTCATCGGTCGATAGAAGTGGAACATTGTCCGTGTGTATAAATAGGTTAGCCTGTACGAAAATAGACGTCGGGCCGTTGGACTGGTGGATCGATGATGATCCCGGCGACTAGCCGCCCGATGGCTGGACGTTCTTCTTTCATTTCCCACCCTTTGACCAAATAATTCACGGTCTCGGTGCTTCCGATGTTACCACAAGCGCCTTTTTTTCCTAACAGTATTTGGCTATTCAAAGAGCGTGTTCCAACTATAGATGTGAACGCACCACCCTCTGCATCTAATCTCAGTCGTCGAATCCACGTGTGCACACGTGGATATACATAAGGCGTTAAAGTTGATGGCCGAAGTCTGCATGAAATAGGTCGTAGTACTATATTTATATGTATACTTCATAGATGAGAGTACATTTAAATGTAGGAAAGAACTCACCGTTACAACAGGTGTTGCCATTTGATGTGAATTGATGGATACTATATGTTTCTAAGGTTTAGACCATCGAATTTAGCACAGCCTGTATAGAATTGTATATGTATGTATGTATACACGACAAGGGTGCAGCTGGTCGAAGCAACGACTAAGAATAGCCACGCGACTCACGGAAATAGCAATGCGCAAGCCCGAAATACGCATTGTATCCAGATACGATAGAAGCCGGTTGCACGTTGGCGCCTTTTGACGTTCACCAAGTTGACTTTACTCTTGTATCTTGCCACCCCAACGCCGGTAGGCTCGTATCATTTTCGTTTCCCGAAGTACAGTCGTTAACGATTCCGCGAATCGTTTGCTTCTCTTTCGAATCGCGTGATAAATTTCGCGATTCCACTTTGTGGAAATTTTCCATTGACCGACGTCCGACCGCCTTCGAAGAATTCTTTTTGCGCCGCACGTGCGTCGCGTCTCTTGAGACATTTTTATTGTTTTCCGTTCGAGCCAATGAACAAGGAAAACACGGAAAGTTTGGCAACCGGGCATTTTAAAAGATCGCGAAACGAGTAGATGCTAACAATGTAGATTTTTGTTTGTTTTTGTAATAAAACGATCCTGGGGGTGGAGAACACCCTCTTCGAACGGATTGCGAGTTTTTGGATCGTATCGTTGCTGAAACGAAAAGCAGTTACTTTATGTGTGTGGTTGCGCGATACATGTATGTATGTAACTGAAAACCTCAGTGAAAAGAAGGTGTCTCGTAGGTTAAGGACGGGTCAGGTCTCACGAGTGGCACGTTCGCGATACTCGACGCGAGTCGAGAAAAGGAAAAAGGTGGAAGATCAAGTATTCGTTGATGGCCCTCTTGGTTGCACTTTTTCGCGTTTGAGAATCGTGGATGAAAGGCGAAACGGAAACGAGAACTTGAAATTTGGGAAAAGTGCGCAAAGTACGAATCGCTAAACAGGTCACGTGTTCCTCTTAAATTAAAAATTGGAAACAGAAACGCTCGTATATATTTTCGTGACCGCCTTTAAAAAAGAGAAATAAGAGAACGATGCGTTTGTTAGGCCGTCTACTGGAAAAACTTGGCAAAGGAGTTGTCAATGACGTCAAATCTAAGAAAAGATCTGCTAGATAAGCCTTACCGATGAGTCCAACTAGCAGATGCGGAACGAAACATAGAACATTGCTCTTTATACCAATACTATCAGTATTATTAAATTATGAATTGATTACAGTGATAGATGAAATCTTTTCTGAAAAAGGCCTCTGATTCCATACATGGAATGCTCGGAAATTCGAGATGGTTACGGAAACCGTAGGAAAAGATAATAAACGAATCGGTACACGTGATTCTATGTAATTGCAACGTTTATTTTGGTAATGTTTATATAGAAAACATTGCTTAGCGTTAACGGAGGCCTGACGCGCCGTCTTCGCTGCACATTTCTTCCGTTCGGTGGTGCGTTTCTTTTCTTACTATCGTGTTTTCCGTAGAGATGGGCAATATCTTATTTAAATAGTAAACGAATACAAACACTGTACAGCGACAAAAGGTTGTGTATTTTTCGAGATTCGTATTTAGGTAGATGATTTGCCCATCTCTAATTTTCAGCGGCTTTGAGAGCCACGTACCGCGAAAGCACATGTGTACTTCGGTGGTAAGATAGCTCCAGCAAGTATGTACTGTCGTCACGCGAGTAGAGTACGATAGACTCCGCCTGTAGGATGAACATACTACAGAGTTTAGTTTTATAAACAATTGAGCGTCTGCGATGCAAGAAAATGCGTCTTCCGATAGACAACGCTTTTCACACTTGGCATGCGGGTACACTTCGCCGCTGACTTACGCGTGCAGCGGCCAAAAATCTACTAAATACGTATTTTTATGTGACCCGCGCTCCAGTGACAGACTGCGAAAAACGTAAAAGTACGTTGCTCGCACGCCAAGTGTTCGTAGTCTAAGTCTAATTGTAAGTAAACGCGACACTAACGTCTCGCTGAATACGATTGGTTGGCCCTGGGGGCGTGGCCAGTTGCATTCTCCTCGCGCGACAACAGTACTCCACCGATCTTCTTCTGTTCGCTCCATCTACTAATAAATTGCTAGAAGAATATATGCGCGCTATGCGTATGCGTACTCTATATCGCTTAATAACATTAAATATCGTTTAGTCCGTTTCGAATGTTACGCCAATTGGCGTCTTCGTCCTGTTTTCGCGCACATTCGAACGTTTCACTTCGCGTTCTCTGCTATCGCGTTCTTCCTACGTTCTCGATGGTACGATACTCTCGATTATCACGCAAGGCCTCGCCAGGTACACTTCTATCTATACCGGTTCACGTTCTCTAGTCTATGTAATTATGGTAACGTAATAAATTACTAGGAAATCCGCAGTCATTATTGTCTCTATAGTCGACACCGAAAACACCGATCGCAGTTACATTCGCGTTCGCCGCAGTCTTAACGAGTTTGTTTTGCTTTATCACATTCGTTTCGTATTCGTTACAGGAAGAGGAATCGCCTTGTCGCGCGGATTCACACTTTGGTTGCTTTGTACGCGGTAGCCTATTGGGCAATTCTCGCCTCGAAGTTGTTTCGTGAAAAGGAAGTGTACGAAAGACGGTCGTACGCATCTGTACATTAATATATACATATATTATAACCTGTAGGTATTAAACACTTTATATACATATACGTAAATGTCAGACTGTAGATGGGCATTCTTTTAGGAGGCGACTCTGCGGGCCACGACGAGATGAATGTTAAGAAGAATGAAGGAGGAAGGTACTGTGGAAATATTTCTAGAAAAATTCATTTTGGGGATACGCACGTTTTTACAACTCTTCGATCACGTTTTCATTGCTAACCAAATATTTATTTTAGGGGCGAAGGTGAAGAAATATGATGTGGACCACGGAACGTCTCTTCAGTATAGAATACGTGGGATCGTCACGCCTCTACGTATGCGCATTCTTCATTGTAGCATATTATTGGCCGAAATGATCGTATTTAAATAACGAAGACGGGTAATTAGGGACGAATAGGGAATAGAGTAGGGACTGAACAGGGAATAGAGAATCTAAGAAAAACGAACTCGCTTCCTGGAAGAATGCCCAGCTACAGTTGAACAACCTGTGTATACACATATGTATATACCAGTGTATACGTAGGTTCGTACGCATATACAATATCTGCGATGCGTCCGTCGATAGATAATTGGTCCGCTTGTAGAGGAAGTTGAGAGAGGGAGACGGAGAATTAGGAGGAGTGGGGTCGGAAATGGAAGGAAATGAAAAGGGCGAAGAAGACTGAGAGAGGGTGGGATTATCACACGTTTTCGCGTTCCGCGTCGGTGGCGTATCGAGTTTGGGGGGAATAATTGAACGCGGTGACGCGGAAGCGACGAAACACGGCAAGTAGCCACTAATGAAAGGGTGAGAAAGTCGAGTCCGTCGCGGTCGTTTCGACGGACTGTTTGGCACGTTGCAAAAGGGAGAAGGACGTATTGTATCCGTCGTGAACGGCGCCGAAGCCGGCGAAGCTATGCTTTCGTTCCCGGCGATCGCTTCTGAGGCAGGGTTCGCTGGTGGCTCTGACTATCTCTCACATGCCCTCCGTCCCGAGGCTACCGACCAAAGCTGGCTCGCCGATGTTCGAATCGCACTGCATCACCCACTCCCAGATCCTCTTGGTGACCACTTTCTGATCGATCGTCGTCTCGAGGCCGTAACTGTTCAGAAGCTTCCTCAGTTTGTTCTTGTTCTCGTCGACGTTTCTGTGATCGTCGAGCACCGTGTCGAGGTAGAGCAAACTGTCGCCCCGCCTCGCGATCGTCTCGCTGGCGTCGACCGACGTCGAGGTAGCGCTGTGACTGATTTTGTTGACGCACCACGAGTCCTTCAGATACTTGTTGATCTCCGTGACGTGCGGCCTCTTCTCGGGTTTGTGCTCGAACACTCGCCTAAAGTAACGCAGCAACCTCGGCGTGAATCGTCTGAAGGTCGGCGGTATCTTGGTGGTGCGACGTTTCAGCCATCGTTGGAAGGCCGAGTACTCGGGATCCTGGATGAGATCGGCGCTCTGCCAGGGCGGGTTTCCTGTCAGGCACACGAACAACACGATGCCGAATTGCCAGCAATCGGCGCTCCTCTTGCACGCGTACCTCTCGTTCTTTACGATCTCGTAGATCTCCGGAGGTTGAAACGACAGCCAGGTGCAACGGATCTTGTTCACGAGTGTCCCCTCCCGCCTCGTGCAACCGAAATCGCACAGCTTGATTTTGGACATGTCGGAGGCGAACACCAACACGTTCTCGAGCTTGATGTCGCGATGAGCCAGTTGCTTGGAGTGGATGAAATCGAGAGCGGAGCCCAGCTGACCCGCGATCCTCTTGCAAGCCTCCTCGCTGAGACCTCCTGCTCTCACGTTCCCGGCGAGGTCGCCGTGCGGCGCGTACTCTTGGGCAAAAACGAAACACTTTTCGGACTTGAACGCGACCGCGTACGAACACAGAACGTTCGGGTGAGGGCTCAGGTGGTACGAGTAGTGGAACTCGCGGAAAAAGTCCTTTTCCGTGGTCAGTTCTTGGTGGACGGCTTTTAACACTATCCGAGTTCGCGTCGCTCGGTGCGTCGCTAACAAAACTTTGGCGAAACTCCCCTCGCCTAGAGTCTTCTCCACCTCGTACTCTTTGGACAATTCCACCTCCTCCAGAGGTACCTCCTGCACTTTGTGTATACCGGACTCCTTCTTCTCGTGAAGTTTCATCTGTAATCAGATCGCGTCATTGTGGTTTTCAGAGATTGCTTTCTTTTTTTTCAAGGCTAGGATATTTTAACGTAGCGCCATCGAATATACTCTTACGTAATAGCGTGATAAAAACGTTAAATAAGTAAACGTATAAATAGTTGGACGAGTAACATTTTCGAAGATTCTCGATATTACATAAAAGTATCTCGGAGATTGGGAATCTCAGAATATTTCAGAACCGACCGGTGCTTTCCATCCCCCTAAGCGCCCCCCTCTCTCTCTCCCTCTCTCGTTTTCATATCTACTCTGAATTTCTCAAAATACCACGGGAACGCATAAAATCAATCGATTCCCGTTGGCCTTTCACCTTCCGTCTCTCTCTCTCTATCTCTATCACTTCCAGACCCGCCCGCATAATCTGAAAGTTCGGGGAAAGGTTTTTCCGTCCGTTTGCGTCATCATCGCAGGCAACTTCAACCGAGGTGGTTGTCGTTCGTGCGACCAATCGCGTGCGCAACGTTTCACGCTTGTACAGGTTTCCATTGGAGACAGCATCGTCCTCCCACTCATTCTCGTTAAGGGACGTGCCACCTTTGCTCGGTGTTTTTCTTTTTTTTTTGTGAATACTTTTCCAAAAGGGGCTTTAACGATTATTATTATAATTATTATAATTATTTATAGTTCCCCGGATCAAATTCTTACGTTGCCCTGTTTTATTTACATAGCTTGCGTTTCGTTTACACAGAGCACAAACGTAATGGAAAGGGATACGAAGAGAGGAATTTAGTTTCTTCCTGAGAGGACAACACGTGCTTGCCGAGGACCAGAGGTAGGTCTACGTTTGGTAGTTATTCTGTGATTACTTAATAATTTGGAGTTACATAGAAATTTCATCCGCTTTAACTTCGATAACAGTTTTCAGACCGATCGACAGTTGGAATCGTGGATCCCACTGGGCTGAATTATCAAGGACTCCGTTCGTTTCATAGCACGCGTCCTCGTTGGAGATTCTTGGAAATATCGCGATGATTTCGGGGTCGATGGGCCGTCTGCGAAGGACGAGCGATCCTCAGGGATCTGGGAGCGTGGCGACAAGAGGGGAGAATGTGGAGGTTGGCCGGGTGAACCCAGGACCTTTGGAGCTGCCTAGATCAATAGCAAGGATTTCGCTGCAGCAACGCGCGTAAACTCGTTTCGTTATCGTCTCCATCCGAGTCGTCATCGAACGGAATGGAAATGAAAACGAGTCAAACGATTCTGTTCGAATGCTATCTCTGTTACTCCACATAATAATTTAATTATTAGAGAACATTCGTACGCGCAAGTATTTTTTGCAAGCGTTGACGCGGACACCTTTCGAATTCTCTAATCGATTCATCCACATCGTATCGATCGATTCTTTGATCTCGAAAGACATAGACGTTCGCAAGGATTATTTACCTGAATCGTATGAAACACGTTTCTCTATTTTTTTTTTCTTATTCCTGTGCCGGATCTTACCGGTTCGCTCTGACAAGCTTTTCGACGCGGGTATATTTAGCGTTTGTGTTTACCGGTGCTATTTTAACGCGTGCTAGAGATTAGTGAAGTAATATTTTGATGTATTTTTACATTCGTCAAGATATTTTTAGAGACCTATCAAAGAGGTCCAGGGTGGGAGAGATAGAGAGAGGTATATATAAACGTTTGATAAGACACTGGTTCGCACATAGATCTTGTTGTTAAGTACACTTAGCGCACTCTCATTTACTCTCGCCGTAGTCGATACGTGTCATTATCGGCGTAGGTAATAAATCGCATTGTCTGAAAACTCACCACGATGGTAAAATCCTTTGGGACGATAGGAAAAGCGTCGCTACGGACGAATTAACGCATGGATCGTACAACACACTAAATACGATCCCGGTGAACTTTCAATTGTTCTTTCACGTATGATCGTCTGTTCCCCGATACGGTCTCACAATTACATTTTCGCAGCGACAACGTGCTACGATCGGAAACACGAATGACACGAGTACCAAAGCAATTTACGCGAATACGGTAAACGACGGGAAATCGTTTAGAATTCCTTAAAGTTCTCGCAGAAGTCCAAGGAAACTGTTAACAACGGGTAACTAAAACACGGAACGGCTACGTCGTTCGATGTCACATTTTCAGCAGTGCGCGCATGTCGCGTCTGGAGCCGTCGCGACGCCCTGCGTCGCTTTTATAGACCCGGCCGAGACGCGCAGACGTAGATCGAAAAAGGACGTCGGAGCATCGACGACGCGACGATCAAACACCCGCGTAGTTCCTGGTCGTTTCTTTATTTCTGATGATGAAACTGTGTACGTAGTTTCATGGAAAAACGATCGTTTCCATCCTTTCATTGTCGAATGCCGATAATTAGACGATTGGAAAGTCGAGAACCGTAGAGGATTTTCAGGGTTGCAGAGGATCGTTGGGATTCGTTTTAGGCTTATTAATTCGTCTTTGGAAACTAGCCGGTATTTGGCGTATCGAGTATTCGCGATTCTTTGGTATCGAGCCAAGGCAACTATTTTTCACGGAGAATGTTTTGGACCCGCGACGAAGGATAAATTAACGATTTTCTCTCGTGTCCTCTCCGAATCTTCTTACTATCGTGAGATTTTATTTTGAGAAGCTTTTAGGCTCAGTAACTTTTAGCATTAGTATCACACTGTCCTACGACCTACAGAGTATTGGCTTAATCCTTGATTAGGGTAGACATAGGGGTTCCTAGGTTCAAGGTCTATTTTTATAAATTAGAATCATGTCGAGTAGCGAAACAAAGGAGTTCCAGGGTCAAAAAATAAAGGCTTTCTAGTATACAAAGGAGTGCAATGTACGCGTTCTAATTCATGTGGAACTTCTCATTTAAGCCAATCATTCTTACAGCTGAAACGTGCCCCTCATCCACAAACAGTGCGTCACCGTTCCTGTAAACACTGTGTCATTCGTTCTCTACGAATCCAGCCCCAACCTAGCCTCCGTGCTTCGGTCCTTCACCGGAACCTCCTGCGATACTTCATCCCTAACTGGTATCGTGCATTCGCAGAACGTAACCGTTGAGCCACTTCACCATCCAAAAATATACCATTAAAGAGTAAGAAGCAACGACTTTGCGAACGTTTGCTTTTATTATATACAATTAATTTCACGTTGAAAATAACGAGAACGTATTTTTCTATTTTTCAGGGTAATGCAGAGAAATGAAGTCTAACTCTTCTGCGTATCATCTAATCATCAGGAACTACTACTGCTCGTTAGGACGTAAATGTGTCGTTACCACTAACTTCCACTTCAAGTCGCAGTCCGTTTAATCGTTGTATCCTTGAAAGAAACTTTGTAAGTTACTTTGGAGAATAAGTCGTGTCAGAGTCTGCTTAGAGCGGTCAATTGTGTGTAATACCGTCGTTACAGCAGTATTCAGCGTTTAAGCGGTATTCGATCGAATCGATGAGGCACGCGCCCTCACTCTCGCCTACGATGGCCAAATAACGCGTTCACCCCGACGTGGAATTCAGTCTATACCAGAAAGTATTTTTAAAATGTATGTCAAGTATACAACGTTCATAGGGATGGATCGTACATACCGGTGCAACGACAGCAATATCGATGATATAAATAGAGAAAGCCAGTCCGATGGCAGTAATGCGATGTGTCGTACAACTATTCCGTTTCGATTCGTTAAAGAAATCACGCAGATTCCCGCTGAAAAATGTCGACGCGTTTCGCTGCGTCTCGACCAGAGATACGCGCCCAACCTCGTAGACCTTTACGAAATCCGGCTACAATGTTCGAACCAACGTTCAGGTGGGTGTCATGGAAGTGCGTTTTGCTAAAAATTATACGAGAACACTTCATAGGGCACAATAGGGGAATTTCTTTATTCGCGTAATCTTCAATTTATACATACATAAATATTTCTCGTAAACTACATATAAAAATCATTCGAAAACGTACCAGCGGATGCTCGATGAATAAAAGATCAACCGTATACTCGTTTTAAAAGTTCTAACAATTAAAACCTGGTTACAGAGTAAAAGCTTGCCTGATCGAACAAGTATTACACACAAATTGTTGTACATTTTATTCCTCAGCTATTATTAATAAAAATTGTTCCTATGCGTGTCTGTACATGTGCCTTACATTGTGACAGGTATCGTTATTCGTTGGTGTCGCTGGAGCTGGAATCGCTGGAGCTGGAGTCGCTGTGTCCTGAACAGCTACAAACAGTGTACTCCGAGTACCCGTCGGATTCGGAATAGGAACTCTCGCTGGATCCGCACGAGCAGGAACACGAGCATGAACATTCGCTATAACTGGAGCTGGAACCCGTGTACGAGGACTCGTCGGAGTAATCGGAAGAATCGCCGCTATCGGAGTTAGAACTCGTATGATCTTCTGAAAAAAAGAAACGGAGATTTATATAGCCCGTTAACAGACCTTTAAAGCGGTGCCACGCATCGATGCGATAACTACTACAGCGCTCTACAAATTTTTGAATAGATGTACCTATATAACGACTCCTATGGTTCATACGAAACTAACATATTTTCAACGCGATACTTACTCGGTAAATAACCCATTTTCTGCGCGATGGTTGTCACGTGGTGACTGAATTTTTCCATAGCTCTCTCGGCTTTTCTCGCCTCTCGTTGTATTTTTCTGTCTCGTCGGGCTTTCTTCTTTTCAAGCAGGAGTCTTTCAAATTTCCCCACCTTTCTCTTCTCTATCAAACAAACAAGAACGTTAGCAAAGTAACAAATAACACAGACGCGTTTCATCCAATATGTATGTATACAGGCAGAAAAGTACCTGTAGTCTTCGTCTTTCCATTTTGTTCGCAGTACGGTACCACCGGTTTCTTTTCGTGCACCAGCTCCTTCTTAGATTCTTCATCGCCGCGCTTTAGCTTGAGATTAGTATCGCGCTCGAATTTCGCGATTCTTTTATCGATCTCTGGCTGGTTGGACGGACACTTCTCGAAATTGTTGCTCGAATTCTTTGTTGCGCAACCTTTAGACCCACTGGAAACGTTCTTCGCGAGGGTGCTCTTATTAGATTCCATGGCGAAAGAAACGTCAGGCGTGCTCGTCGCAAAGAGCAAGCCGCAATTTGTGTTGGTCGAAATATCCATCATCGATTGATAATGCGTAGCTCCACTTTTCATCGTAATCCCATTTTCAGCTTCAGAAGTATCCGCGACACTGTTTTTATTCTCGTCGTTACTCTCATTTTTATTCTCGTTCTCGTTTTCATTCTCGGTTTCGTTTGTGTTGGCCATCTCGCGCTCGTTATTCTTCTTCTCCTTCCTCGATCGTTTCGCGGTAACGCTTGGCTTTACGCTCGATTTCGAACCGTTTCCAAGCGCGCGCTGGTTCCTGGACGATGTTTTATCCCATACGCGTTTCTGTCTCTTCGTATTCGACTTTCGTTTCTTTCGCGTGGTTTCCATATCGCTGACCTGCTTTTCTTCGGATTCGAACGAAACGCCTTGCGACAACGTCGCTTCTTCGCTTCTCATCGAGCGTTCATTATCAGTCACCGAATCGTTCTTCTTCTTGGCTTGTTTCACTGGATTTTCCTGGCTCGGTTGGTTCGTTTGTTTTCGAGAACTCTTCCTCGACTTTTTAGCTTCTAGTTCTGCTCAGAGACCGACAGAATTTTTATTCGAATGATGAATGTTTTGTACGTAGCTGTTAATCGCATAGAATCTTTCGCAATTTTCGACCTCAGAAATGCTCCTTCTTGGACCCTGCGCTTCTTTCTTTGGGATTATTCGAATGGAACAGGTATACAAAGCCGACATATTGCAACAATAGATTCGTAAGCGCCAGAAGAAGGATCATTCTATCCGTATAATTTTCAAGTCGTAAACGATAAGAATTCTAAACATAGAAGTGCACATAGAGTGCTACAATAGAAATAACAAACTTCATTTGTTTCAGGTACATTTACTTTCTGTTTGCAAAACAAACGAAGAATCAGCCTTTCGAACAAGATTGTTTACCTAGAAGAGAATATCGCGCATCTCTGATCGAGCTTACCTGCCGGAACGCGATCTGGCTCGAGCGTCATTCGTTCGTTAAACTGGTTCAAGATGTCTTGCATGAAATTGCGATGCACAAAATCGTCGATGTGTTTCCACGGATCCGTTTCCATGATTTGGTCGATATCGAGAATACCGTCGGTGGTATCGAACGAGAGCGCGGCTCTTCCCAGAATCGCTTTTCTGCTCATTTAAACAAGGAATTAGAACGCTCGCTGTCTCGGTGGAATGAAAATTTAACGAAAATTGTCGAGTTCTCGATGCCAGACGCGAAAAATCAAAGAGGGGAACGAGGTTGGCTCCAGGGCACCGCTCGCCAGTGCAGAGACAAAAAAGAAACAAATCTAAGGTCGATTTTGCTTGCTTACATTTAAAGTCCCGTTTTACGTCAGTCTGTGCGTGTATTTTCGGTTTTCCCTGCTTACGAGATGAAAATTCACGCGCTAGGAGGAATCATCTGCGAGAACGACTATTACTTTCGGAATCCAGAATACCGATTCGCACGAACATTCGATTTATACTGACACGTTGGATCGTTAACGTCTCAACGGTTTGGTCTCGTCGCGAAAGGTCGTCTCGTCCCAAATTGTTTTCGCCGCGGTAACGGCTATCAACGTTGGCCGACGGTTACGATCCAAACGAATCGAGCGTATCTACTGCCATCGGGGCTTTCATCTTGCCATCGTTCGCTGAAAGGCGAAAAAACGATTGCTTCTCTCGTACCGTGTCTCTGTGTCCGTTCCTTTAATATTTCCAAATAACAAACCGAACGAAACCGAAGGAATACAGAAAAATACAAGTAATAAAACTAAAATGGTTAGAGTTAGAACGCATAAAACAGGCGAACAAAATTAAGGAAAACGAGTAGAACGTTAAAAGTAGCGCGAGTCTACCAGATCCATGCCCGTCTAACCGCGTTCCGTCGACCCACGCGCCTAAACGGAGAGTTCGGAGCTATATGTTTATTCGAATAAAAGTTTACCCAACCCGAACGCAGGGAGGATCGATCGAATGTTCTTGTTTCCCCCGTTGTCGTAACCCTGCCAAGTATAGTCGCAGAATGTCCCGTCGTGTTTCACAGAAAAGTTGCGCGTGACGTAAAGATGCGATAGGCGCGCTGACGTCACGTCGTCTCCCCTGTAAGCGTCGTCGGGGTTTACGATACCCAGGGGGCAAGGTTCGCTTCTGCTTTAGTAGCGGGTAATCGCGTGGAAGAGGGTTACGTGACGTCACCTACTCGATGATCGAATGCGTACCTCGCGGATGTCCGTCGTGCATTCATGTTTAATTTGCCACGATGATCGGCTATCCGTGAAACGCGCGTGTCGTTACACCTTAAAAGGCAAAGAGCGGCTTCGACGACGAAAGAATATAGCGTAGGAGTAGCGTAGGTCGCCTGTCTCTGCTCGTAAAGGCGATGGGGTGGACAAAACAAAAGTTTTCGATAGTAAATTAAACTAGAATGTCACCTCCGAGGGAACATCGCGAGTGCTGTGCAAGCATTTGAATAAAAATATATGGAGCCGCGTCGTGTTTAACATTATTTTGTTTTAAGCGACCGTTGAATGTTTGCATAGCGTTTTCACGGTGTTCGCGTCACGGAGATTCAACGATACTCATGTTCACGGTTTCACGATTACGCTGATCTAGATAAATAGACGTTTCAGCGAGATACTTGGAGTTATGAACGTTCGCTTCCTCTCGTTGGGATAATATTTATATATTCCTCCGTTATTCGCAGTGCTTAACTTCGCAACCGTGGCTCGCGTTTCGCGCGTAAGCGCTACTTGCGTAGTGAATAAATCTGACAATGTTAGTAAACGTTAATATATTTAAAAAATGAATATTTCCCGCCGAGAATCGTTGTCCAACTTCTTTGAAACGTTATCTTGATATGTTTAAAATTTGAAGAATGTCTATCGAGCCGGTCAATTTTGAAAAAATTGTTTGTTCCGAGGGTACGATCGGATGTTCACCCTTAACGGTTGGGGTTGTGAAACGACGAGGATCGTACGTGTCGCGTGTACTCGCGACGCTTTGATCGCGCGGCTCGCTTCTAAAGAAAACAGACGCGTTCACGATGTCTCAAGAACACCGACGCGCGATTGGAAAAGAAAACAATTCGACGAAGACGTTGCCCCGAGCGTCGTGGGGCTCGGTCGCTCAACTCATTGATATATGCGAAGCTACGGTTCATGCTGCAGTCCCCGACGCGACAGCTAAATCATTCTCCTACGGGACGACTATTATTAAACGTGTTACTTGCCTTTTCCTTATTTTACGTAATTATTTATAGACGAAGGAAGCCTCTACAAACACAAAGAGACACTTATATTAAATATACGATATAATTTTATAGAATAATTAAGAAAATTATACTGTACTGTTACAGGTGACCAACTCTTCTCTGCTTTCCTTTAATGTACAAACCATTTCCCCGAATTCTGTTCGATGAAACTGTGTCAGCTATTGATCAACGTCTTCTGGTCCCACAGTCACGTATGCACCTATTTCGATTCCTTCCTGAAATTCAACTACTATATTGGGTACTCGGAATTGCGTAATCGACGTCATTGGGCCTGATCGTCGATGAAGCTGCGACACTCTTCGAGGAAGGACACCCGTTCTCCGATGAATACCTGCACGTGTATAAAAGCAACGTCGGACCCTCCGATCAGGGATCAGTCCATCGCGGCTATTCGTGCGAACATGATCGAGGTAAGGACGATGCGTCGATAGGCTAGATACGAAAGGTATCGTTGGTCTCTGAGAAGAATGCTTCCGAGGAAGTACACTCGTTTCGAATTAGTCTGTTCGTATTAATGCATTTATTGTATCGTAGAGTTTGTAGAATTATTTGAACTCGGTGTACCCCTCAGAGACATTTTTCTCAAAGGCCAAGTCTTGGCCCAGATGATTATGTTTATATTGCAACTGTATAATCTATAGTTTCTGAATGATCATCTCCATTTTTTAACCGTTTCAGATCGTGTTTCTGCTCTTACTCGGAATCTGCGGGGCATCGAGTACACCTGTACCGTCTTACGCCGATGGGAACCTCTCGAATCACACGGAAATGGATTTATCTCCGCTTCCAGGCTCGGGAAATCTAGCTGAAAAAGCGATTCCGCTGTGGCAGCTGATCGATAACAAGAAACCTCTTTTACCAGCGATACAGATTGCGATGGAAGAACCGCGGCAGACAACTCATAAACTTCCTGGGACGAAGAATTTGGCCGAGAAACGTATTCCCGATGTGATCCTGAAAAAGTTCTCTCATCCGCAAGCTACTAAGTCCACGGACGATACCTGTGTTCTCTAAGGAAACTTTGAATAACAACGTCGGATGAGCAAGCATCGAGCAAGAAAATAAAGACTGTTTTTTAAATTATTCGAAGGACGATGGCAGCTTTCCGAAATACCTTTTCCTTCATTATCTCACTACTCTCGGAGCGTTGGAAATTGTGAAAATCTAGTCTAGCCTATTCTATAAAGGGATAACTTGTATCTAAATATATCAGGAACTAAACATATAAATTATGTATAAGCCAAGATAATTTTATCTCTATTTTGTGTTTGGTTACATTTAGATTTTTATATCGTTATTGTCTAAAGAAGTGCCTGTTATGCGGAGGTGACTGTACTGTATAGTGGATTGCATCCGTGTTTTTACTCATTTTTGTTTATTATTACGATAGTTAAATTGGATCGTACTGCCCTCTGTCTGCGATGACGGTAAAGTAGATTGGCGAACCGACTCCGTGATTTTACCATTTCGAGAGTGATCCGTGTGTAGCGTTGTTATTTTGCGGTTAATGCATGACAATCGTTTTTTGACATTGTCTCATAGAAAATATTAAGTTCATATACAGACGTACGTAGATCGCATTTACTGAAAGGAATTTCTACGTTTCGTTATACTATTTCGCAACAGGAAGAAAATATCAGTAAGGTACGTATGGTGTTACGAGAACAGTTGATTTTGTAGGTTATACGAGGCGTTTAGGGTAGTAAGAGCGAATTCAACGTTACGACGTACAATTAAATATAACTCCTCTTTAAATATAAGGTTAAACTTTGTAAATATAAGCTTAAATATAATCTTGTTAAGTTTGCGTCACTATCCAAAATGCCTAATACATTTTCTTGCAATTTGTGTCTTTGACTGATCTGTTTTCGTAGTCAAGACGGACATCTCCGAGAGCGCAATGTCTTCTAGTGATCTTACAAAAACGATGGCGGATTATACCGCCGTTTGCGATGCAAAAATCCCAGAGTGCGAACTCATGGCACGAGAGGGGAAGCTGCACGATGCTTTAGACCAGTTGCTGGCATTAGAGAAACTAACACGAACAGTTAAGTTTTCCTACAATGTTTTATCTAATACACTCTATCTTTAATGTTATAAAAATTACATGGAGTATTTTGGGCATATTATAGAAGCCAGATATAATATCAACGTCGCGAATTTTGGTTGCCATTGTTCAAATTTGTCTAGAAGCAAGAAATTGGGCAGCTCTGAATGAACATATAGTTTTATTGACCAAAAGGCGTTCTCAGTTAAAACTGGCAGTCACAAAAATGGTCCAAGAGTGCTCTACTTATGTAGACAAAATGCCAGACAAGGAAACCACAATAAAATTGATAGAAACTCTGCGTACAGTAACTGAAGGAAAGGTAAAGTATCTTAAAGCAACAATTGTTACAAATGCGTTTTCAAACATTTCGGGAAATTAGTATGATCTTATCATTTAAGATATACGTGGAAGTTGAGAGAGCAAGGCTCACTCATCGTCTGGCAAAAATCAAAGAGGAAGATGGAGATATCGCTGGTGCTGCAGCTGTTATGCTGGAATTACAAGTATGTATATTAAATATGAGGATACAGGAGTCAGAGATACCAAATTAATTTTGAAACGACCCTCTAGGTTGAGACATACGGTAGTATGTCGCGTTTAGAAAAAGCTTCTCTTATTTTGGAGCAAATGCGATTATGTTTAGCAAAGAAAGATTTCATGCGTACTCAAATAATAGCCAAGAAAATCAACGTCAAATTCTTCAAAGATGACGACGACGAAGAAACGCAGACCCTCAAATTGAAATATTACGAGTAAGTAAATTATCGCCCAACCGATTTCGCGTAAATAGGTTTTTATATTGGTTATTTTATAAGAACATTTTTGTTTCAGCCTGATGATGGAATTAGCGCGTCACGAAGGTTGGCATCTAGAATTGTGTAGACACAACCGAGCGGTACTAGAGACTCCAACTGTGAAAGATGATCCAAAGAGAAGGCAGACTGCGCTTTCTCGAGCTGTTTTGTATCTTGTACTCGCCCCTCACGAACCGGAACAAGCTGACTTAACGCATAGACTACTCGCCGATAAACTTCTAGACGAGATACCGACATACAAGTAGTGCTTGTTGTTCCTCAAATCTTTAGATTCGTTAACACTTCCGTTACATTCACCAACGAATTTCTTTTCATTTTTCCCCAGAGAGTTATTACGCCTTTTTGTGAATCCAGAACTGATAAAGTGGTCCGGGCTTTGCGAAATCTATGAGAAAGACCTCGCTACAACTGAAGTCTTCACGCCTTCGACGGAAGAAGGTCGAGAGCGGTGGGCTGATCTACGACATCGCGTTGTTGAACACGTAAGTTTATCATATTGACATCGTTACATTTTGACAAATGTCCTTTGATACTTATCGTGTTTTCATTGGACTTATAGAACATTAGGATTATGGCAAAATATTACACAAAAATTACGTTAACTCGTATGGCCGAATTGTTGGATTTACCAGTCGAAGAAACTGAATCGTGTCTCTGCTATCTAGTCGAAACTGGAGTGATAAATGCCCGTACAGATCGGCCAGCTGGCGTAGTTCGATTCACCGGAACACAAGAACCAGCTGCTTTATTAGATGCTTGGGCTGCTTCGTTATCGAAATTAATGAGCCTCGTCAACCATACGACCCATCTTATTCATCAAGAAGAAATGCTGGCTGTTGCTCAATCCTAAAAGGTATATTTAATCATTTCTCTTCCTCTCCCTTTTGTCCTTTCGCACCATCCTTCTTCTTTTTCTTCGGTATGCCCTTATTGTTTATATAATCCACGTTCTTGTTTCTACGATATGAATGCGCATTACAAACACTAAATGTATTATACATTTTGTGTTTGCTATACAAGGAACCGTCTAAAAGGCATTCCCGGTTGTGTGTTTAATACGTGTACCAGCTCCCAAAAATAAACTGGTTGTACGAAATATGCAGTACTTTTTAATCATCAATAACATACGACATATTGTACATAAACAATTAACGACATAGGTATTACACATCTTTCCAACAATAAATTCTGGACCTTCGTTTTTATCATTGCGAATATACAAATGTTTTAGGCTCTTAAAACTTCATCAAGCGGATACATCGCGATACATTATTACCCGTTAACGCCTTATTGTTACAGGTAATAATTGTAATTCGTAAGATTAACCACGGTATGGTAAAACAAACTTTACGATCACTAACAAAAAGCATCTTTTTAATATAAAAAATTTACCGTTTCTTTTTCAGATGACGAGCTTTTCATCTCGACCATCGTTAACGTCCAATTTATACACAAATAAAAATATGCACGTACAAACGTACTTGTTAAATTTTGTAACGTACAGTGTAAAAATATTTATACACGCAACGCGTATTACTCGGACTAGAATACCCTAGCTTCCATACAAGGCAATTTATCTTTGATTATATTTCGATTCTCGCAACCAAATAGAATTTCATACCGTTGCAGAACTCTCGTTATTTAGAAGTGTTACGTATCAGAGGCACTGAACATTCGAAAAAAAAATATTACTTCGAATGCACTGTTTTGATCATTTCACGATTCAAGAATATTTAAGTAACACCACATTCGTCCTTAAAAAGAGAGAGAATTAAAGAGAAAAGGCACGATCATTTTGCCGCTTCGTCGGCTTTCTATACAATTCGAACATATCACGTTCGCGATAAACTCTTCTCCCACCGTTCTGTTAATTAATACAACGCGCGATAAAGACACCATTTATGCAACAGATCTGCGATCAGTTTATAGTAAAAAAAAAGCTCGTTTAATATACCAAGAAAACGAAGAAACGAGCAATCCTTCGCACTTCGAAAAGTCAAATTGCAATTCTTCGCGATCTACGATCTTTCGATCGTAAGAAATATCCGTTTCAAGGTTTCTGCCTTATGTTCTCGGCTAGAGCAATATTTCCGCAAGGTACCGTTTCACAACTCGGCTTGGCATCTAAAGTAAAACAAAGAATTTTTTATTATATGTTAATATTCAGTGAAAATTACAAATTATTGAAACAACAAATATTTACCGTTGTCTATGGTCCTTTGTAGTAGAGCTACCGCTTCCGCGTAAGAAGGTGGAGGTAATTCGTTCGAGTTTTCTTGGACTATTACTTCGTAAGAAGGTGGACCTGAAGCTGCTGTACTAATAGGACCCATACCACGAGCACCAGTCATCAATTCCTGCAAATGCTGTCGAACAGTCAAGCTAACGTTCTCCAGCGATCTGTCTTGTATTTTTAAATAAGTTATTTTTGTTTCAATTTCATTTATTTGATGATATTTCATAGATACATTACCTATGATTTAAGGAATTTAAACATAGACGCGCTTACCGCTACGCAATTTAATCTTTCGCGTTTCAAGTACTTGCCGCGCTGCCGTTTAAAATGAAAGGCAAATACATATCTCTCTTTCAACAATCGATAAGTCTACAACTTGAACGTTACGCGACCACGACGACGATTACAAGATCGTCGACAAACAGAGGAACGTAACTAGAGGACCGGAAACGGTCGCCGATAGAAAACTGCCGGAACGTCTAGCAAACCGCGAAATAGTTACTCACCCTAAACAACTGTCGCTGATGAAAGATCATTTGTATGACGGACTTTCTTCGTAGATAAAGCATACATTTAACGGCCACCATGAGTCCGGAACAGATGAATATCGGACCGATAAGCCACATGTGACCAAGGTTCAAAAATATGTGCCCGTCGCCCAAAGCAGAAATAGTGATAGCTGTACCAATGGTGAATAGAATGGCGCTCAGGACGAGATAGCTA